AGATAGCGGAAGGAGAACCGGTCGGCTGGCGTTGATGGGATCGGAGGAGGGCGCGGACACGATGGACAGGTAGAGAGCGAGCGGGCGAGTCTTGGTATATTTGAAAAGGTGGAGCAAGGCAATCGCGTTTTCCGGGCACGAAGCGCGCGAGCGTAACGCGCCGTCGACGAGTGTCGACGTGCACGCGTTTCCATAACTATGAGGCCGATTCGGACGCGAACCTCTCTCTCATCTCGCGGTATCGCTGTTGCAATACCGACCTTCGCGCTAAAAGCAACGTGGTCTCGTCGTCGGCCGGCCGACGTTATCGCTCTCTTATGAACGATCGCATTAAGGACAGGCGCGACTATTCGCTCCCAACCGCCCTCTCGCTCGTTTATTCGCGCCCCGCCGGTGCTCTAATTTCCCACCCGCGCCTTCCTTTATCTTTCTCTCGTATCCTCACCATCGCCCTTCCGCACGATCAGTTCCGGCCTGTCCGCCGGAGGTAAATCTCCCTCGTACCTGCAGGTACCTCGCGCCACCATCACCGACGCCGCACACACCCCCGTCTCCGCTGGTACTGCCAGCACCACCACCGACAACGGCACACCTCGGACGCGCGATAGTTTTGCTAAATTCGATTTGCTTTCTCATCTCTCTCGGCCATTCTTTTTCGGTTCCTCGCCTTGAGGCGGCCGAAGGGGCAGACTGCGCGCCGACGGCGTGTACCTTTGGCTCGGGAAGAGGCAAGAGGAGCCTATACTTTCTCGGAGGGTGTCTGGAGGCTATCAGGCGGGAAGTAATGGCGTTAGCCCCGTCCCTCGGGGCCCCAGAGGCCAACACATCAGTTAGTAACGCGGTCGTACGGCTCGAACGCGCGCCATATTCACCAGCGCGGTATTTCGTCCAATTACGCGGATAATCTGACGCTTCTCTCGAATGACGAATCGCCGGCTCGGCAGAAGGCGCCTGTGCGCGTCGATTGATATTGATCGCGCATCGATACCTGGGCCCGATTTTGCCGATTCGTAATTACCGGCGCCGCCGAAAATTGATTACGCGAAAGACACCGGGGGAGCCGGAGGGGCACGTAATCAGATTTGTACGCGCAATTTGTCGGAGGGCTCGTCGAATATACGTCGTGTCTCTAATGTTCCGGAAGTACACTTTTCATGCTCTGTAAGACGATATTGAGTGGGTTTGTCAGATTATATCTTGAAAGGCGTCCTAATTCCGGTGGAGAAATTAAAAACTCACGAAACCTTTAAAGGTTAAGAAAAATGTCAGCGGCTCGGGAAGTTCACGGCGAGGCTTGCGATATAAGCCGCCCTACGCTTTCCGGAAGGTGTCAGATATTGAATTCGCGCGTTTTCGTGACGATGGAGAGAAATTCCAAAAATTCCAAGCGAATATCATTTAAAGCACTCGGTGTAAGTAGACGACGTACATAACGATTCGGTATAAATAAAGTATTCATATCTTCTATTAGGCGTCAAGCCTCTTGATACCGATACTCTACGTACATAAAAATTTATCTCCTTTTTACGGGGGGCGAAAACGTTACGTCGTCTTATAACTTTATATTTATCGGCGCTCTTTAACATATAAGTGGATATTTAAAAATGCAAATGGTTATCGCGTTTATATTTACCGTCCTAATTTAAGGTAACGCATACGGTTAACGCTCGCGCTCGTGTAACACCGCGCCCGCGCGAATGGCTTTTCTCACCTTTCCTACGTTACCGGATTTTTCTACCGCGTGCATTCACCGGGTATCTTCTATTTACGATAAAATTTGGTAACATTCTATCTTCGAACGCATCGCGAAATTGCGCCCGAACGACGCGAGAAAAAGTGTTGTTTTTTTACGGCCATGCGATGCCCGCGTGTTAATGAACGGTGCTTAAGCGCGCGCGCGAGCTTTTACCAGAATCACGGGAAAAACCGCTGCTACTAGACGTTCGTGAAATAGATCTGAATGCAGACGAGTTAATTGAGGAGCGGGCGAAAAAGAGAGAGAAAGAGAGAAAAAAGAGAGGAAATGTGAGAGAGAGAGAGGGGGGGGGGGAAAGGCAGGGGGGAGAGGAAAAAGTTTCTAGGGAGTTAATAATTCTGAATACGTTGTATTTTGATCTATGTTGAAATGCTAGAGAGACCGAACTAATTACGAATAATGTCGCGAATAAATGAATTAAATGGAATGTAATTTTGCGCGTGAACTTTGACGCGCGATAACTGATATTTGATTAACCGCAGACATGACGCATTATATATATTTTATATATATTGTAGTGTGCAATTTTGCGTGTAAACGATTCCGAGGTAATAGTTCGGAGATTTTTACGGTCGAGATAAACGGTCTATCCGGTATATTCTCAGCATTTGTATCGTTATATCCTATCTCCCGTGGAACTGAAAAGATGCTCCGATAGGTATAATTAAAAGCGTAGTTTATACTTTCTTCTTCTTAACTTTCCGACTATCGCGTTAGTTTCTGTTTAGCATTGCTCCACGCGCTCGTTTTAATGGACTTTACCGGGAGTTCGTAATAATGTACCTGCAGCTGAGAAAACTTTCGAATAACAGCGTCAAATGTATCAAATTCGATAGAGATAACAATCGTGCCATATTCGTACGAGAGGCATGGCGTTTACAAAAGTAACATCGAGTGGAGTATAAGCTAAAGTTGTGGTAACGATCAACAGGACGAGTCTATTCATTTTGTATTCCATCCGCATCTTTAATTACTGCTTAATTACTGCCGGTCGTACTTGCAAATCAGTCACGAAGCTGCGGGTTAAAGCGGGATGAGCGAGAACGTACGGAAGGTAAACGGGCGTGCATCGAAAAACTTTTAATTCTCGTTAATTCGTTTTTAAAATTTATCAACGCCGGAACTTTACAATTACGAGTCTTAGCGGCTCGCGATGGGTCTCGGCATTGCCTCGCCGACGGGATAATCAGTGGATTAAACTATGTAATCGACTATTTTTCCATATCAGAACGCGACATCCATATTTAACAGTATCAGTTTATACGGCCAGCTTAGTAAAGGATAGTGGTTTACGATCTAACGCTTCCTCTGAACGCCCGTCGGCACCGGCGTATTCCTGGAAGGCAATGAAAATTTAAATTAGCGCAGAAATTAAATCCGACTTTTATCCTTTATTGAGGAAACCTTCCGGAATCTGCAGGCGGTTTGACGTCCCAGCTGCCCGCATATTTTCACCCCCGATCTCACCCGACCCGACCGACCGACGCGGGACGGGATTGTACTTTTTGGTCTCTTCATAATTAGCAATTAAGAGGGTAATTAGCATCGATCGAGATGGCTCCGAGAAGGCAGACGAGTTCTTACCACATGGCTATTTTCACAATGTCGGAACGAGACAGAAATATCACACCTGCGCCATCCTCATCGATTTATTGTTTATGGCCCAACTCAAGAAAGAGGTCACATGACTCTCTCCGCGTTCTTTACGACGGACATTTATATGATTGAACAATTAAATATCTAATATTTGCATTTTCTCGCGATTGTTCGCGAATTTAATTTCACAGACTATCGACAGAAAGAAAAGGAGAGGAGGAAGAGAGAGAAAGAGAGAGAGAGAGAGAGAGAGAGAGAGAGAGCTATTTTCGTCGCAAAAATGCTTCTCGATGGTGTATAAATCTGACCCATTAAAATCGAATTGTCTCGCAGGTGACTTCAATTGGTCGCCGGAATATCGTTCTTTCGTCGATTGCAACGTGATAAAACTACGTACGTACGTACAGTTAGCTAAAACGAGCGGGCACGAAATGACACGGGGAGGGAGCTCCTGAGAAACTCCCAATGCAAAATAAAAGAACTTTGCATGGGCGCTTGTCGCGCAGAAATCGAAGAAACCGTACCACGCGCGGCATACCTATATCTCGATGCATCGACCTCCAACTTCGAACTAGCTGCGAACTGCAACTGCACTCTTGGACACATTACAACGGAGTTTCGCGATATGCAGCGGTTATATCGCGCACCTGAATAATTGCGTTCTGGCCGCGGCTTACTCGACTGAATTTTGATGTCGGGCCAGCGGGGGAAATAATTGATCGTTAAAGCGGAGCGCGATGGGTGATACCGGCTTAGAAATTTCGTTGTCCACGTTATTTGCCCGCTTTTATTTATTCATTCCTGTTCAGTTTTTTTTTTTCTCTTTTTAATGGTAAATACGATATACCCGCATGTAACAAACTTTCGATCACAGTCGATAATACAACTTCATTTCTGAGTAAAGATACAACAGAGTAATTCTATCCAAAAGTGTAAATAATTAATGATAATCACTAATTGATACAAACATGTTATAATGCGGTTATCAGTGCTCGGTATCAGAAAATTGATAAAATATACTATATTAAAGAGGATAAATTTAATTATCCTGATATTACCCGTTGGCCAACGCATGGTTTCACCGTCGAGCTTCATTGTGCCTATTATTTTGTATTCCATTTAATCGCTAGGTTCAATCCCACGAAAGAATGAAAGGATATAGAGAGCGAGCGCAACTTCGGGAGCAGTGATAAATAATCGCATTAAAGTGTCGTTGGATACTGAATGCGCGTGGTGTCGGGCAAGATAACGTTGTTAATATGCAACACAATTTAAAGCGCATCATTTGGAGATGCGTTGCTATACGAAAACACGTCATTGTGTTACTTGCAAAGTCGCGAAGATCAAAGATATATTTGCCGGCGGTTCTTTTTCAGTCTAGCAGTCTATAAAGCGACACCGCCGAAACTTTATCGCCATCGCTCGTAAATGTAACCTTGCGACCACTCTGCGATTCATATTTAAACGAAAATACCAATCCCACCATTATTCACGGTTCGGACGCGATATGCGTTATCGACCGCGTTTCTCGATGCAGTTATCGAAGTTATGACTATTTTATACGGCGTTAAGCCCCGCGAAAATCATCGTCTCTGAGCGGTCTTCGGCAGTCGGCGCGCGGAATCATCGGGAATTAATCGGGACTCACCACTCTCGCCGTTGTAATTTATGTTCTTGCCGTCCTCGCGTCGCCACATGACGTAAGGCTCCGGAAACCCGGTCGCTTTGCACGTCAACGTCACGTTGGAAGCCTCGCGGACCACCATGTCGGTGCTGGTCTCTTTGGTAATAATCGACGGTGGTACTGTAACACAAATGTCGCGGAGAAAGTTTTATTTTCACGACGGGCTCACATTAGCGCGTTTCTCGTCATTCGAGAGTTCGTGATTAATATTGAAGATAAATGTTCGCGATTTACACTATTCGACGTGGAGAAAGACTCACCTACAACCTGTATGTAGCCCTGACGACTCCTCATTGGGTCAGTGTTCACCTGACACATATACCATCCACGGTCGACCTCCTGAGCATCCTTTATATGAAGGTACCACGAGCGGTGGTCATTGAACGTCAGTGAAATCCGTGGGTTCTGAGTAATTACGCTATGATGGATCGACAGTATAGTTTGCGTATCAACGCGCACCCACGCCACCTGAAACAAATGTCGGAGCGTATCCCTTTTCAATTTCAATCTGTATTAAACTCTTACTTTTGACTTCTAATTGTCGAAATATCGTTTGATATCTTCTTATTATCTTCATTCTAATTTTGACCGCACGACGGGAGTAATCGGGATATAGAAAACATTTGCTCATTTGCGATTAACGCTCAATTAATTGTTTTAAATTGGAAAATATATCTCTTCCGGCACGTTTTTCTTAATATTACGTTTCACAAGTGGTATTTAGCATTAGGTTGAATTATACGTGACTTTTGGCAAGCATATAACTTCTGCTGCTAGCGCGAGAAGAAGCTCGAGATACCCCGGTGACTCTACATCTCGCTGAATGTTCCTTTCCTATTCTCACTTAATTCAATAATCGAGTAAGACTGCCTTCCCCGGCCTTCGCATGGATCTTGGGGAAACTGATGGAGGCTCAGAGCCACTCACTCTTCTTCCTGCCACTGTCTGTCTTACGCACACTTTCGTCGTCGAGTTTTCGATATGGGCAAGAGGTTTCCTGAGCATGCAAAACATGCCCGAAGTCTCGCGAATTCTACAGCGGTATAATTTCCACGGCGAACGCGCGCGGCTCGAGTATGTTTCGTGTGGAGTACGACTGGAGAGTATCTCCCGTGGAAAAGATAAGCTCGCTCGCGAATATTTTACCACTTACTTATATACGAACTCGTGTATCCATGTATTTATATACACGCTACTGCGCTATGCGCATAGCCAAGAAACGAACGCGCACACAAATAGCAACATTTGTAAATTCCGTAAAGCACCGAGTCAAGTTTTACACGCAGTATTCGTCACAGGATTTCTTTAATAATTGACAATGACGCGTTATTTGTTTTGTATCATAGACTTATTACGCAGTGAACATTATTTTTACCGTAAAAAATGCGTATACCGCGTATACTTTTCTCTACGTAGAATCTTACGAATGTATTCCTCGATTTTAACGTAGGAAAGAGAATCGAACGCTCTTTGGATGAAGAAAAAAAAAGAAAGAAGAAAATCTTCCATGAAGAAGTTGGATATGTAATAACATCGAAATGTCATCGGAAGCGCAATTTCTGAATGCGCGGTATACCTTTTCCCGCGTATACTCGACGAACGTCGAGAGCGCGAAAGCTCGTCGAACGACGAGAACATAAATCTTTCATCTCACGTTAAATTTTCACACGACGCGGTAGATACCTCGCAGATTATGTTTCACGAAGCGAAGGAGACATTCTGGAGATGCGCATAAAGGAAAACACGCAGCATATATCCAAGAGACTTGCTTAACAAGACGTACGGAAAAATACGGGGAATTAAACTAGTAAACTTAGTTATAGTTCTTTACGCCGAGTTACTTGATAAATCTCACTTGATTCTGATTACCGTCTTGAGAAAGAAGACGGACGTGTTATTAGCTTATACACCGAGCAGCATTGTTTTCAGTGAGCGTTGTCGTTACTCGAGAGAATGAATTGTATCGTCCCATTGTTACGTCATCTCAATTAACTGAAGGAAAATGAAGCAATTATGCGAGGCCTTTGATAATGGTACGTAAACTAGAACCGTCCAATTCGCAGTCTGCGGACCATAAACGCCGTAGGGATTTCAGTGGATCTTCGTTTAACTACAAATATTAAGCGTTTCGTTTAATTTGTACAGGCGTCTCTAACGAAACGGAAGAAGAAAGAAGGTTCGCGTCTCGCTTAACGGAAATACGTATGAAAAAATGTTAAGTGTTTCTTTAGCTCAATACATTAATCACGTCGATGGTCAACGCGTTTGCGCAACGCGTTTTCGCTACGAAACGAACGAGATATCTCAGTTACCTTTTTGCGCCGGACATACCGATTCCTTTCGCGGATACTTTTCCTGTTCTATACATATCTTTGCAAACGCTTAGGTCGCGCAATATGAGCCCGAGCGAAGAATAGTAACGTAGAGAATGAAGCGAGGTTAAAAATGCACATGGAAACTCTGACATTTTCGAGTATAGTCTCGATGTGGCTATGTGACCTCAATTTTACTATACGGTTTCGATCGATGACCTGATTCATATTCGGAAAGAATGCGAATAATTATACAGTAACGGTATCCTATTCGAAATTCGACACGTATGAAACAGTAGTGGTCATGCTGAAAAGAAAAAGAGTTTTATTTAAAGTACGTAATCTTATAACATCGAAAGGTCTTAATATATTTGGAACTATTTTTCTCCATCGTCAGATTGGTCGCAGAAATATTGATTTAAATTTGAGATAACGTAATTTTTCAAGAGATGTCGAAGATATGTGGAACATTGATTAAAATGATATATGAAATGTATTTATTTAAAGAATATTTTACCTTATAATTTCGTAAATTATTCACCACACAAGCCAATAGAGCATCACGTCCTACGCTCACTGTCACATTTTGAATCTCCTCGGCGAATTGGGGCAATTCTGGATCTGTAACATTAATGTAGATATTTTATGTAATAGCAGGGAATATATATATATATATATATATGTATGTATGTATGTATGTATATATTATGCAAAGCATGAAAACGATTAATATTCATTGCTGGAAGATAAGATAATGAAGAATAAGATGAAGAATGAAATGAAGATTACGAAAAAATACAACATGAATAATATTGAGATGAACAAATACCGATTTTTCTTCCCATGAAATCTTCTCTTCTCATTTTTATAGGCCATTTTTATGAAATATGGAGATTTTCATGAAACTTAAATTGTTCTTTACAATTTATTTCTTCGCAATTATTTTCTCAAAAAAATATAAGAGTGTAAAACAAAAAGTGAGGAAATATGTTGCGTCATCGACGATTAGTCGACTGATATTGCTTGATGTTGAGTTAATAAATATTCCTTTCTGCCGTGAACTATGCGTTTGATGCGAGATAAACCTGTCGCAAGCTAAGCATATGATAAATCACTTCGACTATTACTCACTAACATACGTTTGACGCTGGCACGCTCGCACATATGTCTGGACATCGTCCGACCTGATTGCAGAGTTATTATCGTTAGAATAGTCTAACGAGTTCAAGATTCTCAGACTCCCTTAAAAGCTTTTACCTTCGTTAATGTCTTTACGACGTCCTGAGCATCTGAATTATTTATGGGCACAAAGAACACGCGGAGAATGAGAGAGAAAGGGAGACGTCACCAGCTGGAAACAGAAGGATAGACGGAAGAAAGTGGAGGAGATTGAGAGAAAGAAAGGGTGAAGGGAAAGGGGGCGAAAATATCGTGGGAGAGAGGAGAACGAGAGACAGAATAGGGGGACAAGCTTCAAGATAAGTTCGAGTTACTTTTAGGTCTTTTAAGAGCGACAGCTCGGATACAGCGTTAATTACGCCCCCAAGTGCTTTATTATAAAACACTTCGTAGTGTTAATTGTCGCACCTACGATAGCGGTGGGGAATGAGACGAGAAGAGAAAAAAAGGACGAGAAGGAAAAGGGGTAAAAATGAATAACGCGCGTTTGCCGGACAACTCGAAATTCATCGCGACGGTAGGACGTCAGAGTAAATGGTTTTGTAAGGTTCCACTTAGCCGAAGTTGGAACGAGAGTTTCTAAGTATATTGCGCAATAAGACGATGAGATTGCAAACTTTTAACACGGTCTAAAATCTTTCCGGCTCGCGATCGTTATTGAGATATGGGTCATTCCACCCTGATTCGGCGAACGGTTTTACCCTCCGCCAGATCGACCTCCCTCGAATTTCGCAGCAAATCTGCTTAACGCTACCCGGCGGGCGCTCTGTATTCCAGATAAATCAGATAGATTAGATTTTGATGAATCCGCCTAGCGTGTCACAGGACCGATGACCATTAAAGCGTTTAACGTGTTAATGATAACGAGAGCGAGAATCGAGCGAAACCGCCGGTTTTCGTGAGCACGTCTCACGAAAGTCGTTATCAAACTGATTAACAAGCTTTGATTAAGGCGAACTATCATGTGTGCGTGCGCGTATGTGTGTCAGCATGGCGCACGGGGCGCGCTTCGTAGCATGACTCAGCTCCGCTCGAAAGATACAATACATTACATACTAGATATACCGCGAATTTCGTGCATAACAGTCTGCAGCTAATGAATATGAATTTCTGCCGTCGCGCATACCTGCGAACAGTTTTGGAACAGGTATTTAACACGAACGCTCGTACGTCGGATATTACGTAAACGCGGATAACAATAACCGCGAAGCGTGCGAAAGCTATATATATTTTCCGTCCTGATTGAATTTAAAATTGTTCGCGCTTCGATCATCGCGCGGAGCTCCCGCAAAAAATACTAAAATGTCTAATAGGGCGAATCGCCGAGCGTGAGAATTGATATCCCGTCGCGCGGGAAGAAGCGCGCGGATTAAATTAACATTTTCCTTGTTTCCTCGATTTCAGCTCGCTGTGTACTTTCTCGTGCGCGTGCGAGAAAGACGCACGGCCGCCAACGGATTAGATTCGAAATCCCATCAGTGATGGGACGCAACAAAGAACGTCGCTTTTAATCTACGATACTCACGTCCCCGGCCGTCCCGCCCGGCATTATCGTACATACCGCCGGGGAAATCGCGTCTTCGTATTTCAAGCGTTTCTGGCTCAAAGGCGGCCTTATTTTCTCGTTAAAGAACGATTTAACGAGAAACGAAATTAAGGCTCGCGCTTCTTGCTCCGCGCGGAGGCAGCTGCCCCTGCCTGTCTATCCACTTTTCCGTGGCGCGCCTCGGTGTTTTCTTAGCACACTTCATCACCTTTAACCGCGCCGGAAACCGCAATAGCGTTTAGCGGCTGGCCTTCGGTTCCAAAGGTGATTCAATGGTTTCTCATTAAGTTCCTGTCTCACTCTGCCCGCCCCTCCCCACCTTTTTTTCTTGTCCCGCTGTTTACGCAATGATCGTTACTCACCGAGTGCGGAAGGAGGGAAGCGCCATGCGGAAAAGCACGACACGCGCGCGCAACTCTTTCCGCGCGATCTAGTTTCTCCCGAAACAAATGAATTACGCGGCTATCGCGCGCGCCGGTCTCCTTTCTCTTTCGCACACGTGCCAGATGAAATTGTCGTATTTCCGCATAATTATCGCGGTCGCATCGCGGCAGACGGCCGGCGCCATTTTATCGCAATATCGCGCGGTTGAAATTTAAAATAGAATTTNCCCCTTGTCATTTCATTCGTCCTAATTTTCGTCGGTTGTGCAGAATTATTTAATTCGCATTGAAATGTCAATTTCACATTTGCATAGACGAGTCACGCTCCAAGGATTCGCATGTGCGGACGGCATATTTTACGCCTTCGAATAAAATAATTTTGATTAACGCGTAACTATTCGGGCATTAATGAGGAAGGCTCGCATGAATGTATTTTCGGGAACACTCGCGCGGCTTTAATAATAAACGTCTGCGTTAGCGATGCATAGACGTAGTTGGTTTAACATAGTTATATTTATGTTATAATTCCGCACCGTTTTGATTTATGTTCACCGTTCCCCGTACATTTTTATCCCGTTACACACACACACGCACATACACAGATAGACACATATGGCGCGATACGCACAGTCCTGGATATATAGAGTGTAAAACGAATATTCCGTTATGTGCATTATACAGTGATTCTATCATGGGATACGATTGCGCGGATAGCTACAGTAACTTTTATTGTGCAAACTATCATAAATTCCCGCGAAATTTCATTTCCAAACTACGCCCCACTTCTCGGCTGCCGACTGTATCTGCATTTTGCAGTGAACCGCAGCTCGCGAGCGCGAATCGGGCCCGGGCTCACGGGCAAAACTATTTCGTCGAGGCGGGCGGGAAAAAGTTAACAGTTGGACCTGGCTATTTCCGCCAGGTATTTCGATCAAGCAAGATCTTACGCGAGATAACATTGCCGATTGTTCTACGCGCTATTTCAGACGCTTGTCGGGGCGAAGTTTTCCTTTCCCTCCCCCTGGTTCGAAAACGCGCGATGTTCGGGGGACGGTTAAGACTGTGTGACATTTGCGCGAAGAGCTGCCGAGTGGAGGGCTCTTCAATCGGGAATAATAAACTTTTACTGCAAACTATTGCCGTGAAATTCGCGCCGAACGTAAGTTTTCCATAACGGCGACGGGCGTAACGCGACAAAATGGGGCTGTAGCTATTTCCGATTCGATTGTGATCTGATCGCGATAAAATCGTGAGTGAAGCCGTAGATAAAGAAACGTGGGAATCGTGATAATGAGAGATAGACGACCCGACGACGGTCCGAACGTAATTACAGGCAGAAAATTTTGGTTGAATAATATAACGTACTGGCATAATTTACTAGACTTGTATTGCGTGGCTAGGATATACCCATACCGAAGCCAACATTTATAATATAATAATAAATAAATAAATTTGTGATTCAGCAAAATAATCCAGCGAATGGCAGTTAGCATTTTTAACATACCGTTTAGCTGTCTTATATTGGATTGGAAGAAAAGTAATGCCGTATTTTCCCGATAGATCTAAATGGTATAAGGGCTATTCTGATAGCTGACGTCTCTAAACGTCATTTAGTGTATGAAGAATGTATGTAGAAACGTTTGTGTTCACTTGAAATCTCGCGAAAAATGGAGCAAAACAAGCTGTATTTTCGTTGTTTGATGCTGTTTTATTCCGTAAAGGGAAAAACGCGAGGTAAACGAAAAAGAAAATATGTACTGTGTATGGAGAGGATGCCGTAACAGAACGTATGTGCCAGAGATGGTTTACGAAGTTTCGCGCTGGTGATACGATAGTCGAAGTTGAGGAGCGCTCTGGTCGACCGGCTGTTGCTGGTGACGACCGAATCAAGACTTTCATCGAGAATAATCAACGGTACATGACGAGAGAGAGATTGCGAAGATACTTCACTTATCACATACGACCGTCATCGAGCACTTCATAAACTAAGATACGCGAATCTTCTTGATATCTGGATGATTTGTTTGAAAAAAATGTAATCGATCGGGATATCTTATCGCACCCAACATATTCAGCAGACATTGTTCCTTCGGATTACTACTTGTTCTGATCCTTGCAGAACTTCCTTAATGATAAGACGTTCATTTCTTCAGAGAAACCGCAAAAAAGCATCTTCAGCAGTTCTTCGCTGAAAAAACGTCCGAGTTCGACGCGCGAGGAATTATGCAGCTGCCCGAAAGATGGCGAAAGATTATAGGGAACAACAGCCGTTACATTATTCCGATTGAAATTGTCTTGAAATATAAATCAACTTCCTCCAATGTTGAGCTAAAAATACGACGTTACATTCTTTCCAACCGAACAGTAACTGACAGATTTTATTTTGACAGCATAAAAATTTGTCAGCAAATTATTTTTCTCCACTACGCAAGACCACTATGATGCTTTTTCGGTTTATGAATGTTTACATCTTCGAGAAAAATTGTATACATGCGGATCATTTATCGTCGTCG